GAAAGAAACTGTAAATTTTTAATTTTTGAACTTGTACCGGGAAAACACGAAAGTTGTGACGTCACAACGGTGTTTACATACCCTCATGCAAACATGGCTATCAACCAATCACAGCGTGCGTACTATTTAATTTATTTTATAATACGAAATGTACCCACTACGAAACAATACGAGTTGCTTAAAATGCGACGGGTTTGGTTGAATAGAGGCTTTGCACCACCACTTGATGGCAGCCATGACAGGAGACAGRAACAATAGAGTTGTTCTCTTTGGGAAATTGAATTCTTTCTCGYGTAAATTAGATTAGACCAGATGCAACTGTTTCTACCCCCTGTCATGGATACCATCACGTGATGGTGCAAAGCCTCTATAGCTGAATATTTTAACGACACTCAGCAAAAAGAACTCGAAACTAGAGTATTCGCAAATCGAAGATCAAAGCTTTTAAGTGTTTCTTTTTTATTTACCAAGTCCTATCAACAATTGTCTAAACATAAACGTTAATTGTTGTTAGCAAATATTTTTTATTAAAAAGCAATACCTCTTCTACGGCCAGCATCTGTTTTAGCGTCCGTTGGTTTTGGGAGAATTTTGCTCCATTCTACTTCCCTCTTAAGCGTTTAACTACAGTCTCTTTAGAGGTCACTTGTCTCATGCTAAATAGAAGTTTGACCGCAGTTGAGAGGTTTTGATCGGATGTTGTAACCTGAATAATGAAGTCTGATAATATTTTTATTTCAGAAATGGTCTATAGGACCCAGTAATCAACCAATGAATCTCATCAGATCCCTTCAGATGGCGCTTCATGCTGTCACACTAACCGAGCTGCACAATGCCCGTCTGGAGTTGACTTTTGACGTCACCATAATTAAAGAGTGAATCATTTGTAATACGCATGTGCCTTTATAAGAATAGCTAAAAGCATTTAAAGGTATAGTATAYCTATTAGATAGATTCAATACATACCAAAAGTACAACTTTTATAGAAAATAACAAGTTCTTAAAAGAACGCTAATATTAACTTTWTGTATAACATCTACATCTACATCTACATTTTATTGTCAGCAGGAACTATACATTAAGTTATCACGCTAACTATAACGTATGATACTTCAGTAACGTATATTAACCTTTCTTGTCATCCGAATAGTCTATAGGGTCCGCTGACTAAAAAGCCTGAGGACTCCAGGCCCGAGGTTGATCTTAATGCTTTATGCCACCAGGCCCAGGTTCCCAGGTAATCTCAGGGTTCGTGCAATTTTGTGAACTCCTTAAAAACGTAATCGGCAAACATTTAGAAAAGCATAGCGTTATCAATCTTACTACTAGAGAGAACTTAACGAAAACTAAACTTGAAGGCCTCTAATATAATTTAGGCTCATCTTATTAGAATAGCTTGGCCCTAAGGGAATCTAATTGAACAYTGAAGAAAGGCGGTTTTTTTTTTACTCTTATGAACAGCATTTCAAAAATTCATTTTTGAGAACACTAAATCGTGAACTCAGATCTTTAGGCACRTTCATAATTGCAATGTTTCATTAACAACTGAAAATTGAAATCCATTTTCAAGAGCACTTGAAAAGTCTATGCAAAGTCCTTGGTTTTTGCTGCTGAAAATTGATTGCAAATAAAATACTCGGCTTGAAAATTTGGATACAACTTGTGTACCACTTACTGAAAAACTCCTTGGAGTTGCYTTTTGCACAAACTCTGATACCCCATTCACACCCAAGGCTTAAACATGTTTTAAAGTGGTTTAACTAAACAGGTTTGGAAAACTATCTACGAACACTGTACAATATTTGGTAAAATAATGCATGTAAACTATCCTTTGTCTTGCTCTGACAATATTTTAGAAAGTTTCATTATATTGTAGGTTTCTAGTTTCTCAATTTTTTCCTAATGAAAACATAGTTTAACTAAACACGTTTAGATGTGAATGGGGTATGAATCTGGGATCCTAAAGAACGAAATTCCAAATAATCTTGAATCTAAGATGATAATATGTGGATTAAGGCTTCGCCCACTAATAATATTTTCCGGGCGCTCAGCGTTAATTGACTCTCGTTTTTCAATCGTTTTCGAGTCGACCACAAAAACCCTTTTGTTCACCGTTCACACTAAAGCAATGGAACAATTGAAACTCGATAATATCCACTATAAGTATCTTTATCCAGTTGATAAGGGCAGCGCGAAATTGGTTAGGGCTTCATGTAAGACTACGTGAAATGGCACTATTCGTTTATTAATTATTTATTATTARTTATAACACCCTGAAACCCTAACCGACCCAAAAACCCCTAACCTTAAACTTTATAACGGATTAGTGCCATTTCATGTAGTCTTTTATATGAAGTAGTAAGGGCGAAATTCAGCTCGCGCGTAAAGCGATCTTGAATGTCTCGAAGATATCCTGATACCTTAAGATATGTTGGCATGACCAAATTACGAAAACTACAGTCGAACCTCTATTAAGCGGTCACCCACGGGACTTAGCCAAGTGACCGCTTAATAGAGGTTGACCGCTTGATAGAGGTTTTACTTATTTAGGCCACATTTTGTAGAAAATTAACAAAAGAGTGCATAATTGATCACGAAATGTACATTTTATTCTTAGAAAACAKTAACACTAGAAAATAGAGCAATAAAGTGCAAAATTGCTCACTCAAAATATTTTTTTTCGTCGCAAACTGTAGAACAACATTGCATGACTACGTACGTACAATACAGTGGTTTGTTCTTGCTATAAAAAATCATGATTGGTTTAAGTTACAGTACAGTATTATGAAAAAAGCTCAGTTATGGTTGTTTGTAATTTAGGGGCAGACAACTTAAGTTCATGAAACATGTCGTTCACTTTGCTAAGCGCTAGCGACAGCTCTTCGTGACCATGGAATTGCGCGAAGTGGAAATTGGCCGAAACAAACTGGCTAGTGCTGCGGATTTGCTTTATAYACAGTGACGTAGAATACGAACATCTGTTATTGAAGTTATGCTATCTAAACAACTGTTAA